ATTTTTTTAACCTTTTCGGAAGTAATATAAATCGTTATAAATTATTCTTTTTTTTTAGAATAGCAGTAAAGTTACACCTCGAATTCGAATTAACAATATTTCTTTTCGGCAATTTCATGTTTAATTTATTTACAAATGTTGATTAGTTGCTGAAGTTTCCAGGATTTGAGAGAAAATATAAAAAGAAATACAAAGATAATGTCGAAAAGATTTCTCGCATTCAATGATTTTGATGAGCTTGTCGAAATGCCTCCAGGAGGGACTAATGAGTAAATTTAACGAATTTTTGTCCATGTTTTATCCATCAATCTAAAACTTGTATCCTAAAATTTGTTTTTATTTCCTGTGCTGAAATTCGTGACGGCTTTTTCCAAAGGGATCATGCAAGATCTGTTGTATTAAGTACTTGTTTTATAAACTTTAGAATTTTAGGATGTTGAAAACTGACTTGCGGCGCTGTTTAAAGGAATCAACTTTGCTTTCTACGATGACTGTTTCAACCGCTATTGAGGTTTCTACCTTTTTGTATTTTAAAGCATATTTCCTTATTTTTTGATAAAAACGACAATAAATTATTTAAAACTTGATATACAATTGTATAATTTCGTTTACAATAATGGTGTTAATTTAATGGGTCTTTATATGTTTTCAATAAACAATGCGTATCTAATATTTTTAGTTTATCCGTCTCCAGTTATATATAATGTGATCAGTTGATAAATGGTATTTTTGTCAAGTATTTAAGCTAAAGATAATTGTTTACAGGAAACTCCCAATTGCTCATTAATTATTTTAGTTGTTGCATGCGTTTTTGGAAAGCGGGCACAGCATCACACTGGATCCGACATTTCCTAAAAAGCCACCAAATGCTTTCTCGATATTTATTAAAAAATTAGGGCAAAATAGATTCTCTTCGGTTCGTCTTTTATATGAAAATAAGGAACAGATAAATCCCAGAAAAGTGAAAAGGTCCAAAAATTATGTAATTACACAAAAGTTGTTTAAGTTATCAAAAAATTTGTTTAAAAATGGATTTGATTTTTCAGTTGGAACTCAGATTTCGTTTTCTGCGAGCTTTATTGGAATAGATTTTGCGTTGTATCAGTTTTATCCTTTGCTGCAGTGACTTACGAACCATGACATTTCACTGTGTTCAGGGTTAAAGTCACAATACAATATTTTTTCTACATTCAGGATGCAAGTAATATGTGGAAAAGTGAGTCTAATGCAGCCGAAAAAGCAGAAGCGGAAAGAGAAGCATTACATTTAATGGAGAAGTATATCACAGATTTGCAAGCCTTCAAGTAATTTATGCACATTTTAATAATTTCATCCTCCAGTATTTTTTGTTTCTCGGTAATCCTCAGTTTCCGCTATATTCAGTTATTTTGATTTCAGAGAAAAATATCCGAATTTAACGGAATCTCATAGCTCTTATGTCGATAATCTGATGGCAAATGCGCAAAAAACTGTAGGGTTTTTATGTTAATAAGTATCTTGTAACTCATTAATTAAGAAATTTACGATTATCACATAGGTTCAGTGTCAGCCATTCGCATCAGAATCATTTGTTTGTTTAATTGTTGTGCATTTGATGAAAAAACTACCCTAACAATTGCATGAATATCGTTTATGTTCTGTATGGATATTTTAGCTATTTTGACTCTATAATTTAAATTTCCCTGTAAATTATTGTATGAAGCACCACGTTATTTTGTGATTTATATTAATTATATTGAATACAGATCAATAAGTCGAAAGCGGGGAAATGTCTCAATAACAAGAAAAAACTGAGTAAGAAGAAAGAGCAAAAAACTGCCTTCGATTTATTTGCACTTACTTTGACTAGCAAGTAAGTTTACTTTTATACAAGTATAGATACTTCTTTAACTGGGAAACGAAAAATACTTTAACACATTGCAAAAGTCCTAGCTATATTGTTCAAATATGAGAGACATGAGAGAGAGTCTCAACATGTGATTGATAGATTTCAACACTTTATTATTTTAATATAAAGTTTAATAATTAAAATCTACCTTGATATATAATTTGCTGATAATAATCAAATTTTTTATGCATCTTCCAAGCCTATTCTCGTCCTTCAATGTAAATTACTGTGCTTTGTTCAGCGGTATGGCAGCTACCTACTTTCGATATTGATTATTAATAAGATCTCTTTTTCCTCATTTCTTATTCTAGCAGTGCTTTTTTTAAGATATGCTGATATGGAACCTGAAAAACGAGAGAAGAAATTGCGAAAAAAATTTGACAGACTAAATTGTGGTGAGCGAGAAATTTATGAAAAGCTTGCTGCCGCGCTTTAAAACGTATGTTTTCGACAGTGATGATTTCTGTTCAGTAAGCACAGACCGTTCTGGAAATGAAGTATTTTATTTGCTCACTAAGCGAACTCGCGGAGAGTTCGGTGCAGATTTAACAAAATTAGATAAAACAAACCGTAAAAGATTGAAAAACAGATTTTTAGGGGTGAAGTTTCATTTCAAGTTATGAAAGTGTACTTGTTTCATTTTACTTCATTTCTCAAAATATGAACGAATTGTGGAAATGTTTTGGATTCTATCATTGGCAAAATTTTTGAAATTTGATTATGTTATTATCATAATGTTGAATTGTGTTAAATTCTATCACCATTCCTTCATTTAAAAACACTTAATGTAAAAGGCAACATATTAAAGATCTTTAAAAAGAAACGGATTATGTAGTGTTATGTTGTTATCATAATTTTATTATTAAAGGTATTTAACTTGTTGTTTGAGACATGTTGTTCAAATCGGAGTCCAAATATAATGCAGTAGTTACTACCAGTCTTTCGTTCCTGTCTGATTTGTGTTTTATATAGTATACTTGCCTTTTGTATTTACGTTTTTTCTTTTTATATTCAATCTATTTTGATTATATATAAATTTATTTGGTAAAAGAAATGTACAAAATTGAAATTTAATCTGAAACAGGACATATAGATATGTTTATGTATTCCTAATTCAAGCCTGAATAAACTTATTTCAATTCAGATTCCACGTCATTGCTGTGGAAAATCAGTGAATTAAAAAAGAAGCATTCAATTCTTTGAAGAATTTTTTTTCAATAATTTGTGAAGCAGTAATTGAGAGATTATTTGCATTAAGAGCTACAACACAATGATAAAATGGAGAATTCTTTTGTCATTTTGGTAATAACGAATTGGAATTGAAAAAGAAGAAACTCAAAACGTTTCAATCATTGAAAAGGAAATAGAAAACTGCTACACCGATCAATTGATCTGCTGTTGATTGATCTGAAAATTTATAAATTCTGAATATTTTTGAAGAGGCGAGAAGGCAGATAGATGCTACAGTCCTCTGCTAACTTCAACTGAAATGGCTGATGAGGCGAGCAACGAAGGAAAACTCCGCCTACCATTTCAAGTGGTTACTGTCATTGGTGGAAGGAAAGAACGAAGGAGTACTGGCATTTGGGATCTGCGTGAAACGTCCTCACAAAGCTAACACTCAAACGACGACAGATAAGAAGTGATGAAAGCATTCGCTCCGATGCTTCACTTGCAGGAACGCTTGCAGGCGTCTCACGCTTAAAAATTTGCATTTTTACGTTTATTACGTAGAGCTAAAGTGGACTGAAAAGAGACAAATGCAAAGAATATGTAAATTTAGTTTGATGTAAATGATGACATGCTGGATATATATGCAGCAGAAAAAGTAACTGTTGTTGTTTGAATAAAAGCGCAAAATATTACTAGAATTATTTAGTTTCAAAGAAGCATTAATACACAAATAATTTATAGAAAACTCGCGAGTTTAGTGTATGATATAGTTTTGAGATTATTTTGCACTCGCTGGAAACATTCTAGCAAGAAAAAGTTTTTGCGAAGCCGTACTACAAGCACACTGCTAGCAGGTCAAATTTTTTTCGGTCGCACTCCAACCACAAAGTATGTATTTAAACGCACTGAAAAAAGTGGCGCGTGATCTCTTCGTTCATTCAATGCTTTGTTATCTGTCATTACTTACACAATATAGAAAGGTTAATTACATCGTAATTATCATGTATGATTTGCGCTCACTTGCTTCGGGAGTTCAGAGATTTCTCACTTTCGCGACTTCTGATTATTAAGTTTTGCCTTGATCTTAATTAATGCCATTATAAAGGATTTCGTTTTCATTCTCAGAATCGCAGCAATTATTAATATTATTTACTACATAACTATTTACTAAAAACTTGTAATATTATTTAAAATTCATTTTGATATCTCTGCAAATATTCAAAGACAATCGTTTGTTCATTGAATAAATGAAACTTCGTGATACTTTTTCATACAGTACCGTGTTTTTCAGGTGTGCAATTAACCATCAAAAAAGTTCGTTACAACTGTATCACGAAGTTTCAGTTAAGGTCAT